GCAAAAAACACCACTATCTGGGCTCTTGGGTCAGTTGGAAAACCTTGCTCTGGACCCGTAAGTTCTTACTGGGCCAAGAAGGTGACAACTTCAAATTCTGTCTGTAATTATTTATACAATTATTGAAGTAAGCTATCTTGAAATCTGTAGTTTAGAAACAAGTGGTTGTGGGAGAAAAACGGGTGATGCATAGGCCTTGGAGCTGTGAAGCTGAAAGTTACGTTTTGTTAGGACATAGAAATGAGGTGGTCACTCCAGCAGATGGCTTGGGGTGCTGTAAAGTTGGTGGGGTTTATTATGTGTGTTAGGTAAAAGTAGGGTTAACTTTCAGGTTTTCTTATAGGCCTCATTTGGCATACACATCATTTTCCTCAAGTGGGATATCTAAAAGAAACACTATATTATTAGATGATCCACAAAAACAAAATCACTGTTTTCCAATGTGATGTGTTTCCTTGCATATGAGGTGTTGTCCCCCTGATAATGAAAAGGAGGGAATAGCGTTTCCCTCTGTCCTTCAAGGCTGTTGTTCTAAAGTTTTGGCAGAAATATTACCTCCTCATGACAATTGGCACGGGCAGAAATGACAATTTTGTTTGACAGTGTTTTAATTGCAGTACTTGAATGCAGGGTTGAAAGACAGGATGGCATTGAACACTGTCATACTGCTTCATCAAATTGTATTCATCAAATTCATCAAATCAGCTGCAAACTGCAGGGCTAGGTTTTTCATGTAAATATAGCTGCTCCTGAAGATATAGCAAAGTCTAGGTCCTCCAGTACAGAGCTACAGAGCAGATGTTGCAACTTGGGCAGGTGATCCTGTCCACGAAGCAGGTCACCAGCGAGTTTGATCTGTTTGGGTGAGAAACCACGCTGACTTCAAGACTGACTTGTGTATAGTCCTGTCAACAGCCCTTGGGAAGGTGAGGGATCTCACTGATGTGAAGGTTATGACTTAACGTCGAGGTTTTAGTTTATGTGTAGCAATTCATGGTTCTTGGGAGGGCGCCTTGCTCTTGGCAGCTGCATGCATGCAGCCCGGGTGCTGAGAAATGACAGACTTCTAAACTCTTTATTCTCCTTCTTTGTAAGTTTAGCAGTTGGGACGTGGGGTAGAGAAATGCAGTGTTAACACTGTGGACCAGATTCCACCTTCCAGAATTGTTTGCCTAGGAGAGGTTCTCTGTGCGTGAATCACAAAAATAATTTTGAAAATGACACTTGCAACTTCCACATGAAACAGAACTTTGTGATTTCACTGGATGTTTGTGTATAATAATTGTGCTGAGTAATGAAGCCTTGTTTTAACCCTCCGCTCTCTATCCATGTAACACCATAGCTTAGTTTGACCACTAAGTACAAATGGCTGCTTTCATAAATATGCTTTTGTAGTTAAAGTATTCTTATGTAGTGAAATTTTACTCCTGTTAAGGTAATATATTAATAATTACCTTTCTATTTTTCTGCATATGAATAAATCTGAAAAAAAAAATAGTAGTATCACAGAATGGTAGGGATTGGAAGGGACCTCAAAGGATCATCTAGTCCAATCTCCCTGCCTGAGCAGGACCACCTAGATTAGATCACACAAGAACGCGTCCAGGCAGGTTTTGAACATCTCCAGAGAAGGAGACTCCACAGTTTATAGCATTATTCATCTATTGCTTTATTTCCCAACTGTGTTAACTAGTAGCTAACTGGAAGAAGTAAATTGAATCTAGGAAGTTAGTGATGTGATGCTATCATTCTGTATTCGTGTCTATAACTGCAAAATTCAAATTGGAAGCCAGCCAAGGGATAGTGAGCTAATGTTGTAAAATGCAGTGGAATTTATAGCTTGTAAAGAAAAGATATTTCTATGTAGTGGACCGCATGAGAAAATTAAAAAAAAAAAAACACAAAAAAACCAAACACGTTCTTTCTCATGGCATTATTTTTAAGGGCTGCATCCTGATGTAATTTCAGAGGTTTACTTTAGGGTTAGAGGAGGGATAATTAGTACAGTGTGAATGAGGAACACTGAGTTTAAAAGACTGTGGGGAAAAGATAGTATTTGTAGATGCACCGAGGTACATAAAAACTAGGACGTGCTTAACTGGAGAAGAAAGCTAAGTATTTCCATCATCGTAGAGGAGGAAACTCCGCATCCGCTGGGCAGCTGGTGACCGCAGGCTTGCAGTGACGTGGTGGCTGCCTCTTACCCACACCTGGAAAGATGTCTGAGTAAGAGCCATGGCTGTCGCAGGCTGCCTGGGAAGGGACCTTGGCCCAGTTGTGAACTTCTGTAGTGGTTATTATGCGTTCTGCTAGCTAGCAAGGGGTTGGCCCTTTGTTACGAACGTTTATACAGCAGTGAAGTACTTTGTATTACTTACGTCAAAATATTGTTACTGAAATGCACTCTAATTCTAGGCTGCTTGCTTTTTGCAGATTAATGAGAGTAATGATTCGTTACTTTTTACACAATACTGCAGTCATAGTAGAGTTGCAGATTCATAACCGTGTCTTCTCTTGGTTGTGTGGAGAGTTCAAATAGCACTCAATTTAAGGATCCAAAAAGTTTCTTCTCCTCTGGGTTGTAGACATAGAATTAATTTTCTTGCTTTGTATTGCTATGCCGACTTAGGATCATAGTCCGAGATCGTGGGTGTGTAACATGCTCAGCGTGTTTCCCACAGTAGAGGCGAGTGGCTGCTCGTGGACCTTTGTTCTGTCGGGCTTTCGTTGCTCAGTTGTGGAAGTCCTCATTGTTAGTACTGCAGCAGGTTCCATTTCCAGAACTTAAAGGAGTGAAATACAAAGAAGGTGTGATCTGCGTTGCACTTCACCGTGATGATGTGTTGTTCCCATGTGTCTTTAATAACTAGTTTGCTGTAATTACAGAAATGGAACGGCAAGGTTAAATTTTAAGTGTTTGTTTTAACACAAAATGCATATTGAGGGAATTCTTACTTTTCCACCTAATCTTCTAAGTAATTTTTGCTCATGTGAAAAGAAAAATTAGCTACAGAAGGTCTGATTGAAATGAGACAGTACTTATTGCTCAGATTGACATAATGAAAATACTTCTCCGTTTTTTGCTTGGAGCTTGCGATTTAGATGCTTATGGGTGGTGGATAGTAAAGGACTGTGAGGAGTGGTAACTTCTATGTTAATGTGGTAAGACAGATTCATTGACTAAAAAAAAAACCAAAGAAACGTCTCGATCTTAGCTAGTCTTTTTAGGGTCAAGGAGAGAAGGCAGAAGTCCTACAAATAATTTGAGTGGGAGGCAGAGTCGGGGAGGGTATAACAGAACACTTAATCTTTAAAACAGTGTGAAATCTGGAGCAGAACATCTAACAGCCTAGAAGTGGCTGTGACAAAGCGCCTATGACAGACTGTAGATCCTGAAGGGATATATTTTCCCACTTCTCAAAGGTCAAAAACAAATACTAGGATTTATCAGATCTTGGCCTGTGCTGTCCTTGAAATTATGGAAGGGTTCATACAAGCCTTTGTCAGCAGTCTCTGTTACAGGACAGGTTTATCATAAAGCTGTGTTCTTGTGTATGGAAGCATGACAAAAAGTCATCACGTGTTTCACTGTGTTTTGAGTATTTCAGTGTGTGGGCTCCAGGGTGCAGAATCACAGAATTGTTTAGGCTGAAAGGAACATTTAAAGATCACGTAGTCCAACCTCCCTGCCATGAGCAGGGACACCTTTCACTAGATCAGGTTGCTCAAAGCGCCGTCCAGCCTGACCTTGAACACTTCCAGGGATGAGGCATCCACGGCTTCTCTGGGCAACCTGTTCCAGTGTCACACCACCTTCATCGTAAAATATTTCTTCTTACATCCGGTCTAAATCTACCCTCTTTCAATTCAAAACCATTGACCCTTGTCCTGTTGCTTCTGTCTCTGATAAAAAGTCTTTCTTCATTTTTCTTATAAGCCTCCTTTATATATTTAAAGGCTGCAGTAAGAGTAAGTTGATCCTGACTTAGTACAACTCTCTTATTTGTGGGTTAATTTTTTTAAATGGTGTTACCTCCTTTGTCATTTCAAGTATCTTCTTAATTTTGTTGCTATGGTAGATAAAACATGTTAAAATTACAATATATTTTAAGGGCTTGTGTAAAAATAGATCTTCTCTGCTTGATATTTCTTAGTAGTCCTTTCCAGGTGAAAGTCCTTTCCAGTCCTTTTCCCACTTTGTCATTTCATGAGGCTGATAAATTGATAACCATCTTTTCACTACTTCTCAAACTTTGTGTGCTTAAGCACTCATGGGAGTAGTGCATTTTGTTAGTTTCTTATTCTTTCATTTATAATTCACATAAATCTTTTTTTTGTGCACTCCATTACTTGTTCTCTTCCCACCATTATTGACTGCATATTCCCTTCTGGTAAGATGACAGTGAAGGAAGTGGTGTTCATTTACTTGGCAAAGAAATTAATGTAAGGATGTGTTTAGCAGATAGAGGAAATTCTCTACTCCCCAAATACTTTGGACTTTCAGGTTACCTGTAATAGAATGTCAAGCCTGGAAGAGTTATTCATAACTGAAGGAAAAACAATTATTTTTAGTATCTTCTGATTGATCTTGGATATCCATCAGGATGCTTGTTAAACAATGAGTTATGACAGAACCCTGAGCTGTTTGGGAATACTGATATTTTACTGTTGTATAGGGAGGAAATACTTCTTAGTAGGTTAATGTCTGCTGCTTGGAAAGATTTTTATTGTTACATTTTCTTACTAGCATTAGGGTTTTGTTGTTAGCAGCACTGACCTGGGTATCTACAGGCTTTGGACAGATCTTGGCACTAACAGTCACATTTTGAAGTGGATTGCTGAATTGCAAAACTATGTTCTTTGTTTCTGGTATTTCAGATCTCATAATGGATTTCTCATCTGTGTAAATGAAAAGGTTTCGATGAAATTAATTTTATATCTTTTTCTCTAGTGTGAATGAATTTGGACTGTCTTATAATGGGTATATTTTCTTTTCCTTTTGCAGATTCTCTTTCTGGGAAACATCACTCCTTGTATGTAAATAGTATCTCGCTGAATTGCTGTGACTGAGTTTAGAATGCTACTTGACTTGTGATTCTGATGGAGGAATAACCAGATCTCAGGCTGCTGCACTGGAAGACTTTACAGGAAATACAAAATGTCATCTAATAGGAGTCAGAACCCGCATGGACTTAAACAGATCGGTCTTGACCAGATATGGGATGACCTAAGAGCTGGAATTCAACAGGTTTACACCAGACAAAGTATGGCAAAATCCAGATACATGGAACTCTACACGTATCCTAATGCCTAAGCCATTTAGTACTTTCAGCGTTAATAGATGAGAGATAGCTTTTTACTTTTCTAAACTCAAAATTGTTTCATATCTATTTGACTCAGTGGCTTGTAAGAATGTATTTTTATTTTGAAGATTAGCCTTTTTTATTTGATCTTACTGGGAAATAAGCAGGAACATTGTGCTGTCTGGAAAACTGTCTTCATGATTATGGCTACCTCTGAATTTCATGTTTGATTACTATTATCTTTGACACAGCAGATGTTTAAAGTGATTTTATTAATAGGTCTAATTTTGAGTCCTCAAAACACCAAAAGAAAACAGCAGTTCTTTTTCCTTTATATGTTAGTCTCTGGCATTATGCTGCAGGTCTTATTGGTAATAATGTCTGGTTACCTGGAAAACTTTTCTCTTACCAACCTCAGAGTAGTACTTTACTCTGAGTTGGTTTTATAATTTTCCAGCTGGAGTGACGATGTGCCCAATGGATTTCTCTTGAATTCCTAGCTTGCAACAAAGAGTTATTGAAATTTTCCAGCGTCTCCCCATTCTGGGAGTTGTTATGAGATGCTAGGAGGAGGTTGTGTTCATCCTTGTATGTGTGCGCTGAAGTACTGTTTGGAGTGTTGTAGGAAACTTTTTTCTGTCAGGTAGTGCATAAAGATCTTTTATCACTAATTTGAAGGAGAGATGTGCCTCTTGCTGTATTACAGCTTCAGTGTTTGACTTCAGGACTTTGTACAGTGAGAAATCCTTTTTTTGTGTTCCACCTATAAAGTGGCATGTAAATGGATTTGATGGGATCCACTTCTGTTTGGAACCTGTTGTTTGATGTTCACTCTCGTAACCTGGTATTGCTCAGTAGAGTAAGCACTGCTTAAGATGATGGTGGCATAGCAAAGTGTAGACACATGATAGGAAATGTATTCAGTAATCATTTCTTCTATCTTTCTTTCAATAGTTCCACTATCTAATAAATCTTTAGAGGGTTTTTTTTGATGAAGGTTATTGTTCTGATACATAAATTAATGCCTAAAGCTGTTGCTGGCACTGATTTGGAATCGCATGTCAAACTTTAGTCTGTGTTTATTTGTGTGAAAGGACAGAGCTTTTATAAAAGAAAGAATCACACAGAATCACAGAATGTTAGGGATTAGAAGGGACCTCAAAGGATCATCTAGTCCAATCCCCCTGCTGGAGCAGGACCACCTAGATCAGATCACACAAGAACACATCCAGGCGAGTTTTGAACATCTCCGGAGAAGGAGACTCCACAACCTCTCTGGGCAGCCTGTTCCAGTGTTCTGTTACCCTTACTGTGAAGAAGTTCTTCCTCATGTTTAAGCAGAACCTCCTATGTTCCAGCTTATATCCATTTCCCCTTGTCCTATCATTGGATGCCAGTGAGAAGAGCCTGGCTCCATCCTCATGACAGTCACCCTTTACATATTTATAAACATTGATGAGGTCCTCCCTCAGTCTCCTCTTCTCCAAGCTAAAGAGACCCAGCTCCCTCAGCCTTTCCCTATAAGGGAGATGCACCACTCCCTTAATCATCTTTGTGGCCCTGCACTGGACTCTCTCAAGCAGTTCCTTGTCCTTCTTGAACTGAGGGGCCCAGAACTGGACACAGTATTCCAGATGCGGTCTCACTGGGGCAGAGGAGAGGGGGGGGAGAACCTCTCTTGACCTACTAACACACCCCTTCTAATACACCCCAGGATGCCATTGGCCTTCTTAGCCACAAGGGCACATTGCTGGCTCATGGTCATCCTGCTGTCCACCAGGACCCCCAGGTCCCTTTCCCCTGTGCTGTTCCCCAACAGTTCAGTCCCCAACTTGTACTGGTACATGGGGTTGTTCTTACCCAGATGCAAGACACTACACTTGCCCTTGTTGTATTTCATTAAATTTCTCCCCGCTCTCTTTGAGCTTCTTCAAAGAGGAGCTTGAAACTATAAATTAATTAATTCTGAGGTTCCCTGGACTTTCTAAGGAGATAGAAGAGTTTGCTTTTTGTACGTGTAATCTTATCTGTGCCTGCAGAATCCATGCTCCTGGGGTGGTGGGAAAAAGCCTGCACAGTCTTCTGAGTGTTTTTAGGTGGCTACTTTAATAGTGATGGGAAGATGAAATAACATTTGGTTTAGGGTCAGAACTTTTCCGAAGACTTAAAATGACTGATTTCTTGCAGTGCTAGATTCAGTATGTTCTTGACTGAACGAAACAAGTCTGCAAAAGTTGAATGTCCAATAGAAATCTGGCATGTAGTAGAACCTGAGAGTTTTTTCTTCTGAGTGCCTTTAATATATTCCTGCTAGTGAGTTCTGTCAAGCAGAGCAGCTGAAGACTAAGTACTTTTATAATGGTAATGTTAAAACACTTGCTTTTCTTCCTCTTCTGGTATTCTGAAATATTCTTGGGATGAAGCTGTAAAAGGGACATCTTGTCTATTGACTACTCATCTCCTTCTTGTTGCTGCTTCAAGAAGTTGCTGGGTCTGAAACTAAGAACGGGTTTTGTTACTTTCATGAGTGAATTAATTTTGTGGATAATTTTGGTGATTGACTTTCATTTGTGGATTAATTTAATAGTCTGATAACTTGGAGTATTTGACACTGGTTAGGATAAGAGTTTTTAATCTGCTATGAAGATAACAATGCACTCTGCATCCTGTACCAAGTGCACGTGTTCACTTGAGCTTGAAAGATATCTGTAATGCGTTTGCTCAGTCTTTGCGTACAGCAGCTCTGGTAGATTGATGGACTTTTATTTCAGGAAGCTCTGCCTATCAAACAAATTGATTTGGAAAGCAGAACAGATGCAGAAGAGTTTCAGCTGCAACTGCAATTGGTCTGAAGTTCAGCCCTACTTACAAGGATGCTGGGACAGCAGTTTGGAAATCTCATGCAGTGTAGAGTTTAGTCATTTCCTCATCCTTTTTTGTCCTTTTTTCCTCCTTTTTTTTTTTTTGATGAGGGTATTGCTACTGAAGTGGGTTCCGTTTCATCTCTCCAACTTATAAGAGGAGGAGAACCATGCATTCAAGCAAACCTGCCTTTAGTCCTGTATCTGGTATCGAATTTTCGGTCAAAATTGATTAGAAATGTGGAAATTTTTGTTGTGCCTTGTTCAACTGAATCTGGGAAAGAACTGCAAGAGTTAGGCAATTCAGACAGTTTGGACCTCCATCCTAGCGACACTCATTGTCTTTGTTCAGAGTGTCTTTTTTTGTGAGATTAGATTCAGTCTGAGTACAGGCCAGAGTTTGTACTTAAGGTGGTTTTTTCTTCATTCCAGCAGGAGAAGAAAGAGGTTGATTATTTCAGAGGTTTTCTAGATCTGAGAATACTGAAGAGACGAACCAAGAAGTCTTGTTTCTGAATGGTGGTTATCAAGATCCTCATCCCTACTTTTCCTAGTTTAGATTCATTTATGCCTCTGATTGCAGGATGTAGTTTTTGTCAGATCAGATGATCACCAAATGTTTTTCAGTGATGCATATACTTTCATGATTCCTTTTGCCCTGTCAGCTATGCCAAAGCACATAACCAGAAGAGCAGTCCTTTATGGAACTTGTCCTATTTTTATTTACCGCTCCTTACATGATTATGAAGATCAATGTACAAATGTAGTTTAATTACTTTCTGAGATGTAAATTCTCATAAGAAACACAAAAAACAACTTCCATAGAGAAACAGAATTCCTTTAGAATGGTGCTTGCTGTGGAAGATGAGACTGTTGGGTTTTTTTTGTTGTGTGGTTTGTTGTTTTGTTTAGGTTTTTTTTTTCACATGTGTGAAGTTCTTGAAAATAAAATCCTTTATCGGAATGGTTTTCTGTCCCTTACCCAGATATTAAGTAATCTCTAGTACTGGAAAGGCTAGTAGCTCCTGCAATAGTAACTAACATTTTGAGACAGGCTATGTTGCAAGCTAGTTTAAAATTACATGCCAAGCTTTGACTTCATGCAGAAAAGAGAAATAGTCAATAAGATTAACTAGATTTCTAGGAACAGTAGACCTAACAGCATTACTAATATTGTGAGGAAAGGGCCTTTTTACCGTTTTTCCTTTGGTGGTAATTAGTTTGGAGGCTGTTAGCCACAGGACTAGGTTGTAAAAGGCAATGTTAGAGAAGTGATAAGGTCACTCAGGACTCACTCCTGGAACTCAGGAGGACAACAGCGAGTTTTGATGCGCTGCACATGAGAGGGTGATTTACTCAGAAGTAATGCCCTTTACTTTATACAAAGGGAAAATTGCTGCTGTTCTACAGCAACAAAAAAGGAATTCCATTTGTTGCAATTAGTCAAGGAGTAATGAAATTGTAGTATCAAGGTATACAGAATCTCTCTGCGGCATTTAGTCTATTTGGAGGAAATGGCCAGTTAGTCTGTTGGAGAGAGAACTGTGCTTGTGTGTAGCAAGTTGTGAGCTTCTGTTTTGAGTTGTTGGTGGAAGACCTAGTACTTTGTTTACTAGAATTAATCAACTTACTCATATTTGTATTGCTGTAAGTCACTTGGCTTTATGACCACCTCTTCTTAAACTCCATTTGGCAATGATAACATATTTGTACATCTTGCACTAGTTTTTTCTTTTTTTGGTAGAAGGTGATGCCCATTTTTCAAACTGATCATATGGCGAGTCTGCAGTTTATTTTCCTCAGGCCTCATGGTGGAAGAGGATGATTTGGGTTTTACGTACATTTGCATTTAAACTCTGCAGTGGAGAGAATGAAAGTGTTTTGTTACTCATTTTGTTTTATGCATCTTAAACAAATTCTCAGACCAGGTACTAGACTATCAGAAAACTTTCTTGCACTGTATTAAACTAGCATAATTTTTCATAGTGGCTTACACAAAAGGATGAATAACTTTCTGAAATACTCATTTTCTTCCTCCAAGCATACATCAACTTCTCAATTTCCAGATATAACTGGTGAATGGAAAGCTTAGTGGTGGGCTTTTATTTCATATGTGTGTACTTCTTATTTGAAA